GCCCGGCCTATAACTTTTAAGTATCTAGACAAGTACTGTCGAGCATCTATTTTGCGTCCTTGCCCCGATTCTGCAAAAGCCTGGGTGGAGGTAAAACATGTACAAATGGAAAGCGAAGCTGCCGCTGGGCCGGTGAAGCGTGTCCAGGTTCCTGGCGTCTTGAACAAAGAATTGGACAAAATGCACATCGAAGCAAGGAAGGAATGAAGCAACGAAAGCAGAGATGTATAGGAAAATGAAAGCGTGGCCGGTGCAGTGGCTCACGCCTGTAATTCCAGCACTTTGGAAGGCCGAGGTGGACAGATCACCTGAGGTCAGGAGTTCCAGACCAGCCTGGCCAACGTGGTGAAACCCCCTCTCTACTAAAAATTCAAATAATTAGCTGGGCGTGGTGGGGCACGCCTGTAGTCCCAGCTGCTTGGGAGGCCGAGGCAGGAGAATCGGTTGAATCCGGGAGGCAGAGGTTGCAGTGAGCCGAGATCACACCACTACACTCCAGCCTGGGCAACAGAGCAAGACTCTGTCTCAAAAAAAAAAAAAAAAAAAAAGTGCGCTCGCTTTGGCAGCACAATGATACAGAGATGAGCATGGCTCCTGTGCAAGAATGACATGAAAATTAATGAAGTGCTCCATATTAAAAAAAAAGAAGTAACTTCACAGTGTGTGTGCAGCCGAGCATAGGGGCTAAGAGCCCCATTACAGATCTTTTGGGGGGGGTTAAATACCTCTAGGAGTTCTCATTGGTTCCTTGGTGTACACCCTATGTAAACGGAAAGGACATTTCCTGTCAGAGCTGCTGTTTCCATTTGATTTAGTTCTAGGGAGTCAGCATGAATTGGCCTTAGGTTCCTGGCCTCCAGACCCTGTTCTCCTCACAATGTTCCAGAAAATAATTCAGTTCAAACCGAAAATGAGCACGCACCAAGATTTTATTTCAAGACCGAGGGTGAAATAAAGACATCTCGTGTAAGCAGAAACAAATCAACAAGGCTTTGCTGAAAGATGCTGTGTTAATGTAGGTTAGACCTCTGGGACAGATAGGCCCAAAATGAAACAGCTCAAACAGAAAAGAGCTTTCTTCTTTTTCTTCTTCCTCCCTCCCTCCCTTCCTTTTCTTTCTTTCCACTCCCTCCCTTTCTTTCTGTTCTGTCTCGCTGTCACCCCGGCTGGAGTGCAGTGGGGTGGAGTGCAGTGGTGTGATCTTGGCTCCCTGTAGCTTGCACTCCCGGGTTCAAGTGATTCTCCTGCCTCAGACTTCTGAGTAGTTGGGACTACAGGCACACACCACCATGCCTGGTTAATATTTGTAATTTTTCAGTAGAGTTGGGGGTTTTGCCATGTTGGCCAGGCTGTTCTTGAACTCCTGACCTCAAGTGATCTACCACCTCGGCCTCCCAAAGTGCTGGGACTACAGGAGTGAGCCACGGTGCCTGCCAAGAGGTTTCCTTTCTAACAACCAAGAGGTTGGGTGGCTCCTGTCCTCCATCAAGTAATTTAGCAACAAAAGCACAAGCAACAAAGGGAAATTTAAAACTTTTTTATGGCTGCAAGGACACTACCAAGATAGTGAGAGAACTGAACAGAAATTCTTCCAGTGAAGATAATCAATGTCAGATAAGCTCTGAAACCATAATGATAGAATGTCACACCTACGGTGCTGGCTGCAATAAAAAGCCCAGCAACCATCAGCATTGTGGGGGATGTGAGTGCGGAACACTGGCATACTGCCGGCAGGAATGGAAGTGGGGCAGTCGCTGTGGAAAACAGTCTGGGCTTTCCTCAAAAGGTCAAACAGCAACTCCACTCTTCAGTGTACACCCGAGAGAATTGAAGACAAATGTCCACGAAAACTGTCATAAACTTCTTATGAATAATGTTGCTATGAATGTTCATACCAACATTATTCATTACAGCCAAAAAGTGGGAAAAAGCCAGTTGTCCATCAACTTGTGAATGGGTAAACAAAACGTCATATATCCAAACAATGGATATGTTAGAATGCATTAGACTATACAATGCACTACTGTTCAGGTGTACAAAGGAAAGAAGCACTGATACACATTACAAATGGATGAGCCTTGAAAGTGTTACGCTCAGTGAAAAAAGCCAGACACAAAGGCTGCAGGTAACCCCCTACTGGAGCACCGAGGAAGGAGAGCTAAGCAGGTCCCTGGCACAATTAGTGCCTGAAGAATATCTTAGCTTATAATGTTATTACGCAGTTATTTCCTTTATATAATCCTTCATATATAATCATATATTAGTTTACAGCATTAGTGCCTGAGGAATCTCTTACTACTCAGTTATTTCCATATATATATAAAATTATATCTTAGCTCATAGTCGGAGGAATGCCTAGAGCAGACATGGTACAGAGCATGAATTAAGGAATAAGCGGCTTATTGCTGGAGGAATGTCTACAGCAGACACGGTGCAGAGCATGCTTTAAGGGAAAAACAGTTATACCAGGACAAGAATCCATGGCCCAGGCGGCAGCGTTTAGTATCGTAAAGACACCCGCTGTATGGCAGGCTTGTGACAAGAGCCACTCCTCCTGAAAAAGGAGTCGTACCTTGTGTCCAGTTCTTGTGGAAGGCTGCCCTCAGACTGGCAATCCCATGAGTGTCCGAGGGCTTAAAACGCCTCCAATATAATCGTGCCTTGGTGACTGTATAACTTGTCAGCTCTCTAGCTACGGTGCTGACTCAGATCATCCTCCTATAGAAATCACTGGAAGCTGCCGGCAGGTGGCTGTGTACCGTGTCAGCTCTTTAGCCGTTGTGCTGACTCAAAGCGTCCGCCTATAGAACTCCTTAGAAGTAGCCTGCCCCTAGATAAGAGATGTTGCACACTGCACCCTCTTCACTGCGCACGGCCCGCCTCCTTGCCTTGGTGACCTGATGGGGGTGGACCTCACTCACTACCCTGCCCCCGAACCTCCACCCAATAAATACAGACACTCCTGGACGTTCGGGGCCTCGCCTGTCCCCACTCATAGGTGGCGTGGCCCCCCAAGCCCAGCTGTCTTTTCCAGTCCTTCCATGTCTCATCTCTACTTCTCGAATCCAGTGCCTCAGCACAGCGATAGGGGCCACCCCACGACCCTGTGGGGCTACGACCCTACAAACGCCATGCATCGAATGATTCCATTTCTATGAAATGTCCAGAACAGGCAATCTGTGGAGAAAGAAAATGGATTAGTCGTTGCCAGGGGCTGGAGGGAGGGAGCAATGGGATGATGCTGCAGCATAGCCCCTTTTTTTTAGGGTGATGAAAATGTCCTAAACTTGATTATGGTGATGGTTGTACAACTCTGTAACTATACTGAAAACCATTGAATTGGACACTTTAAATGGGAGAAGCCATACGGCGTGGTGTCTATATCAACAAAGCTATTTATAAAAATGAACGAGCCGATTCAGTCAAAGCCACATGGGCAGCTGCCACCTTGATCACTGTAGGTGGCATCACCCAAGGCTCTCTGCAGCTAGGAGAAACATACCTGTACCAATGGGATGGGACAGAGATTGTACCTGTGTGTTCCGGCTGCTGGCTCTGGCTTGGCAGGACCGTCCAGGACCGGCCGTGGTCACATGCGCTCTCCATTTCAGAGCAAGGCGGGGCGGGTGACTAACCCAGCCCCAGGTCAGAGCGTCAGCGGCAGCTGCTGTTTGATTCAGGCTGTGGCACTACGTCTACGGAACAAATGGATTGTCCCCACCCTGCAGCTCTCGGGAAGACGTGGACCCAGAGTGTCCCATTTCAGTCATGTCACTTTAAAGTCACCCCTATTTGCACCAGCCCTCCTGGGTGTGGGGCACGGCCATGTTTACCTCTGGCCTGTGTGGGCCACAGTGGGGAGGCTTGGCCAGCAAGCTTCTGAGCCAAGTAGTTCCTGCTTTTATGGGATCCTTCCGCCCCACAAGAGGCTCTGGGACCATCCTGAACTAGAATTAAATTAGAATCTTCTGGGTCCCCTTTGGGCTCCCTGAAGGAACCAGGAACGGGCTGGCCAGGAGGACATGATGGACCAGGAGGAGGTGACAGAGGCAAGGCCAGACCCTTCCTGTTCCATCTTGCAGAGGCTGTCCTAACGTGAGGTGATGCCAGGTGCCTGGGGGACATTGATGCCTGACCAGAGCCCAGACTGGACAGACTTCCAGCAAAGGCTGGGCCGTGGCCGACTGTAACAGCCCAGGAGAATGAGGACACGGGAGTCTCAGGCTGCAGGAGCTGGCTGATGGGACGGTGCCTGACATGGTGCTGAAAACAGAGCAGCAGCCCCCGGAGGCTGAGGAACCAAAGTAGCCCACCCACCCAGAATGGCGAGGCCCACACCCATGCAGGAGACTGGAAGCACGGGGTGGGATCCCTCAGCCTCGCCCACAGGATGTTGTGCTCCCGTGTCTGGGCATTGAGCTGGGGCCTGCGGCCAGAGTAGCAGCCTGATTTCAGAGGGTGCCACTAGGGAGTGGCCATACCTGTGGGAGACCCAGTTCATCTGTGGAATTCAGGACCCCAGAGTATTTAATCTGCCCTCTCAGGACCTCCAGCTGGGGCAGGTGGTTGGGTGGCCCTGCTGGGCTTCCTAGGTGCATGCCAGGAACCTGGGAATGGAGCACACCCCTGAGCCAGCGGCTCTCCTTCAGGCCTTAGAGCAGGGAGTAAGGGAGAGGCCTGCTCAGGCCGGACAGGTGACACTAGCAGGGGGGCTGCACCCCCAAACACGTGTCATACGACTATGGAGGAGGGAGCAGCCCTTTTTTCCTTAGTCCTGGGACGTTGAGTGGGTCAGCTTGGTGGAGAGCTAGCCCTGCCTACCTGAGAGCTGCCCTGGCTTCCCCATGGCCTGGCAGCGGGAGGAGATGACCACTGCGTCCAGTGTCGCCTCCTGGTGCTGGGGGCCCCTGACGGACAGAGGACGTTTGCCCCCTGCCTGCCATCGCCCAGGGAGTCAGCCCACGCCCCAGGCACCTGCGCCTCTCCCTGGCTGCAGCGCTGTCTGGAGCTCAGCTCACAGGGTGGGCCTGGGAGTGGAATCCAGCGACGCCAGTCACCCTTCCGGGAGACTTTTCTCCAGCTGGGACGAGAGGGTATCAAAGCAAAGGAAGACACGGCTCAGGAGGCCCACACCGAGAGCCAAGGGGAAAGCTCACAGCAGCAAACTTGAGCGCGCGGCCCCTCCAGAGACAATGGGGGCTCAGGAGGCGGGGACGCGCCTGAAAGCCGGGCAAGAGAGTTTCCAACCCCTGCGGACTGCGATGCTGCAGAAAACGCGGCCGCCTGCGCCGGGGGAATTCCAGAAGTACAGGCGTGCCTGGGTGTGCGCCCAGCTTCTCCAGAAGCTGCGAGGGACGAGAGGCGTTTCCGCACTTGCTCTTGGCCTCTCTGGAACTTGTGCTTTGCTCGCGCGGTCGTCGCGTGCCCCCGCAGACCCGTGGCCGCCCACGCACACGCAGGCGCGTGTACACGCAAACCGAGGGGCGGTGGCCTTGCCGGAGGCTCTCGGGGCGCCCTCTGGGCGCGTTAAGCTCTCCCAGGTCCCACCCCTGACACCGCGGCACCCCCAGACCCACTGCACCCTCGCTCTCGGCGCAGGTCCCGAGGGTCCCCGGGGAAGCGCTCGCTGCGCCTTAGTCTCCCCTGGAGGAGGCACTGCCCGCCCGGCCCACCGGCTTCTCCCTTCGTGGGGACGCTCCCTGACGCCCGTCCTCGCGGGCTCGTGGGTCCTCCCCCGCCGGGCGCTGCCCTCCGACACCCGAGCTCAGTCCCGAGGCGCCTGGTGGGGGTGGGGGTGGGGGTGGGGGTGGGGGTGGGGGTGGGGGTGGGGGTGGGGGTGGGGCCCGCCCCCGCCCCGCCTCGCCCCGCCCCCGCCCCGCCTCCGACCTCCTCCGAGAGCTCCAGACCTCTCAGCTACTCCGAAGCCTGCGGACTGCTGGGATCGCGCTATGGAGTCGACTGGCGGCGACGGGAAGGCCCCGGGCGGCCCCCGGGTGCTGGTGGTGGGCGGCGGCATCGCGGGGCTGGGCGCGGCGCAGAGGCTTTGCTGCCACTCCGCCTTCCCGCACCTGCGCGTCCTGGAGGCCACGGCGCGCGCCGGGGGCCGCATCCGCTCGGAGTGCAGCTTCGGTAACGCCCCTCCCGGAACCCCACCTGCTGCGCCGGAGCTCGCCGGCCCCCCCTGCCCTGCGCCCCGCTGACCGGCCGGGCCGCCTCACCGGGCTCCCCCGGGAATCCTCGTGCGCTTGATCGGCCAGAGTTCACCGCCCCGAAACTCAGGGCGCAGAGTTAGTCAGGAGGGCGCCTGCCTGGGAAGGCGACCTACGGCTCCACGCGGCCGCCCTGGTTCTGCCCCTCGGGAGCGCCCGCAGCCCCGGGTGGCCCACCCTGCACCCCTCCCTCCCGTCCGGACCGCCCGACAGGTGCCCTCCTGCCAGGTGCTCCCCTTACACCGGGTCTGACGGGTCACATCCTACCTGGGAAAGGCAGCGGCGGCGTGGCCCAGGAGAAGGGCCCGGGTGGCCGTTCTGGGAAAGGGACCCCAGGTGGCATCTGCTGCCCCTCGCAGGTGGCGTGGTGGAGGTGGGCGCACACTGGATCCACGGGCCCTCCCGGGGCAACCCCGTCTTCCGGCTGGCTGCTGAGTACGGGCTGCTGGGGGAGAAAGAGCTGTCGGAGGAGAACCAGCTGGTGGAGACCGGGGGTCACGTGGGCCTGCCCTCCGTGACCTACACCAGCTCCGGGGTCCGCGTGAGCCTCCAACTGGTGGCGGAGATGGCGACTCTGTTCTACGGCCTGATCGACCAGACCCGAGAGTTCCTGCAGGCCGCGGAGACCCCGGTGCCCAGCGTGGGGGAGTACCTCAGGAAGGAGATCAGCCAGCACGTGGCCGGCTGGAGAGAGGACGAGGAGACCAAGAAACTGAAGCTGGCCGTCCTGAACGCCTTCTTCAACCTGGAATGCTGTGTGAGCGGCACCCACAGCATGGACCTGGTGGCCCTGGCGCCCTTCGGGGAGTACACCGTGCTGCCCGGGCTGGACTGCACCTTTTCTAAGTGCGTGCCGCCCTCCCCCCTCCACTCCAGGCTCCTCAGGGCCCCGGGGCTGGCCAGACTCTGCTCTCGCTTGGGTGTGGCAGGGATGGGAGACCGTTTGCTCTCCCCATTCAGTCAGATTGGTTGCTCCTTTCTCTGGTTTTGCTCATTTAAGCCAAAAAAGTTATTTCTGAGAGAGGGTGGTTAGAAGGAGGAAAGGCTTGTCCTGCTTCTGTATTTACTCAGGCCTCTTTTGTGCCAGATGAGGGTCTTTGGCTGCAGAGGGGGCCAGACAGGCCCTCTCTGTGTGGCAGGGTGGCTGCTGGGTACCAGCTGCAGGTGAGACCCTCACTTTCCCAGGCGTCACCCCTGGTGGTGTCGGCCCCGAGGCTCCTGCCCAGGCGGTGAGTCAGGAAGCCCTGGTTCTAGCAGATTGCTTTGAGAGCTCTGTGCCTGCGGAACCCTCCCTTATGTGCGGGAGGGCAGGTGTGAGCATCCTTGTGGTGGAAAACCACAGAGTGGAGCTGCCCTCCCTGCCGGCCAGAGCAATGAAGAGCTCCCTGCAGCGACATTTGGAGCACGTATTTCCATGAGTTCTGCCCTTCCAGGGACTGGGCATCTACGAAACCAGCACTTCCATCTTCCTAGGGGCTACCAAGGGCTCACAAACTGCATGATGGCCTCCCTGCCAGAGAACACGGTAGTGTTTGAGAAGCCCGTGAAGACTATTCACTGGAATGGGGCCTTCCAGGAGGCAGCCTTTCCCGGGGAGACCTTTCCAGTGTCAGTAGAGTGTGAGGATGGAGACCGGTTGCCAGCACACCATGTCATCGTCACCGTGCCCTTAGGTAGGCCAGCTTTGCAGCTCAAACCCCTATCCCAAGTGCCCCTTCCTCTGCCCTTATCCTGCTTCTGTTGGCTCTGGCGTGTCTGCTTGGGTACAAAGCTCAAAGCTCACATTTTCGTTCTAATAATTTTCAGATAGGCGGAAGAAATGACTCTTATGTTTTGTAGCAATTGCATGCTTTGGATTTAAGGGTTTCACTGTAAGAAAAAATGCAAGTAAGTGTGTGTCCTGCTTGCTTGGATGGAATCGTGAGGGTTGGGACGGCCTTGGTAGTTAACCAGGCTGCACTTTGCTGGAGACAGAAAAAGGCATGAGAAACCCGGTCTCAAGTTCAGGCCTGGGTGACCTGTTGAAGGAGGCATGTGTATAATTCTATTCAATTCTAGATCTGGTGCTTTAGGGGTGTCCTTGAGTACAGGTGGTTTGAAGCTGTTTTATAAACGGTGGAGATGGTTGAAAACAGAGTGACTAGGGTAACTGCTGTCAGCTGGACATTTGCCTCTCACGGGTTTCACGCCGCCGTCGGTCTCTGCCTGAGTTATCTCATTGACTCCTCAGGCAGCCTTGGCAGGTATCTGGCACCGTCCCCCATTTGACAAATTTGAACATCTAGGCAAACAGAAGTCACTTTGCAAGTTCACAAAGCTAGCAAGTGCCAGAGCTCACTTGGAGATCTAAGTGTGATTGAAGGGCGTGTGATGAAACGCAAGAGCCTCGCCCACCCCCAACTCCTGTCTCCAAGGGGTGGCTGTCCCCTCCCCAGGGCAAGGATGAGCACTCAGACCCCACTGCTGTTCCCCACAGATGCAGTTGTAGTCCACATACAAACACCTGCTGCTCGGCTGGACACAGTGGCTCACGTCTGTAATCCTAGCACTTTGGGAGGCTGAGGTGGGCAGACCACCCGAGGACACCCATCAAGACCAGCCTGGTCAACATGGTGAAATCCTGTCTCTACTAAAAATTCAAAAATTCTCTGGGTGTGGTGGCAGGCCCCTGTAATCCCAGCTACTTGGGAGGCTAAGGCAGGAGAATTGCTTGAACCTGGGAGACAGAAGTTGCAGTGAGCCAAGATTGTGCCATTGCACTCCAGCTTGGATGACTAAGACTCTGTCTCAAAAAAAAAAAAAAAAAAAAAAAATCAGGTAGTCAGTTTGACTGGTTTTTTTCCCCTTAATAGAACTTGTCAGTGTTTCTGAATCAGCACTCTTAGATCTACAAGTCTTTCTTGTTTCCCTCTGGTGGCTTTGATCATTCATGTTTGGAGTAGGCACTTGCTGGGCCTGCTGAGTGCTGACCACCAGGGACATTGCCAGTAGATACATTGTTACAACTGTGAGCATTTTGTTTATACCAGCCAGTTCAGAAAAATTAGCTGGTTGGCGCCTGTAATCCCACCTGCTTGGGAGGCTGGGGCTGGAGAATTGCTTGAACCAGAGAGGCGGAGGTTGCAGTGAGCCGAGATGGCGCCATCGCACTCCAAGAGTGCAACTTTGTGTCCACACACACAAAAAAAGGAGCCAGTTCACTTGCCATGCAGTGTTTTCTTGTCATTATTTCATAAGTATTGATGGAAATTTAGGTGATCTTCACTTTTTCTGTATCATGCAGTTTTACATGTGCACGTAAAAACACTGGTGGGTTGGGTCAAGTGGCTCACACCTATAATCCCAGCACTTTGGGAGGCTGAGGTGAGCAGATCACGAGGTCAGGTGTTCAAGACTAGCCTGACCAACATGGTGAAACCCCGTCTCTACCAAAAATACAAAAATTAGCCAGGCGTAGTGGTACACACCTGTAATCCGAGCTACTCAGGAGGCTGGGGCAGGAGAATTGCTTGAACCCAGGAGGCAGAGGTTGCAGTGAGCTGAGATCACATCATTGTACTCCAGCTTGGGTGACAGAGCGAGCATCCATCTCAAAAACAAAAAACAGAAAACACTTGTGTGAAAGGTGGGGAATGGTGGCTCACGCCTGTAATCCCAGCAGTTTGGGAGGCCAAGGTGGGAGGATTGCTTGAGCCAGGGAGGTCAAGGCTGCAGTGAGCCTTGATCTGTGCACTGCCTGCACTCTAGACTGGGCAACATCTCAAAAACAAAGAAAAGGAAGTAAAAATCCTTGTGTGAATGTTGCCGTGGGATAAATCCCAGCAAGGGAAGTGGCTGGATCTGAGGTCTGCACAGACAGGACTTTCATGGAGGGCATGGGGACCCTTCATGGGCACCTGTGGCCACAGCCCGTGGGGCGCCTCCCCCGCTCTCGCTGCCCACTGACGGCCTTTGCCTGGCTGGTCTCTGGGCTTTCGTCTTTTTCTGACTGTCTTGCCAGTGTCTTAAGACTTGAGACCTGGTGCCACAGGGCTCCGTCCTGTGGTTTGATTTCGCTGTTTGTTGTTCATCTCATTACTGTCTGCCTTTGGGCCAAAGGTGTGCTTTTGCTACACAGATTAATTTTTATGTAGCTTCTGGATAAAGCCTATATGTTTAACCACTACACTAAGCTAACTCCTGAGCAGCATGGCGTGTAGAGGTTGAGAGGCAGAGGTTTAGGGGTGAGTGGTTCCGACATCACAGCTTGTATGGTGGCCCTGACTGTTCCTTTGTGGCCAGTGGTGACCACTGGGCCGTTTTGCCTGCCCCGTTTCGGTTTGTCTGCCCCAGTCTGTGGGTCCTTACAGCCAGAGTGGCCTCAGCTGTGCGTCCCCAGGGCCCTGAGTCAGCCTGGGCCTCGAAGGAGGCAGTGTGTCTGGAAACCTCTTTCTCTGACTCCTCTGGTGGACTCAAGTTGGGCTCCTGGGGGTGTGAGTGACCCCCCATATAGGCACCGAGGAATGAGAGCTAAGCAGAACCCTGGCACAGTTAGGGCTTGAGGAATATCTCACTTTATAGTGTTACTACTCAGCTGTTTCCTTTTATATAATCCTTTACATAATCATATATTAGTTCATAGAATTAGGGCTTGGAGAATCCCTTTATATAATCCTCTATATATAATCACATAATAGTTGATAGTATGAGTGCCTAAAGAATATTTCCCTACATATATACCTGTAATTATATCTTAGTTCATAATCAGAGGAATGCCTGGAGCAGACACAGTGCAGAGCATGATTTAAGGGAAAACAGTTATACCAGGACAAGAATCCACGGCCCAGGCGGCAGCGTTCAGTATCGTAAAGATACCCGCTGTATGGCAGGCTTGGGGCGAGAGCCACTCCTCCTGATAAAGGAGTTGTAGGACCTTGCTCCAGTTCTTGAGGAAGGCTGCCCTCAGACCGCCAATCCACCTTGGTGACTGTGAACTTTATCAGCTCTTGCTACTGTGCTGCTCGAAAAGCCTCTTCCCATAGAAATCATTGGAAGCTGCCAGAAGGTGGCGGTAACCCTGACAGCTCTGTCACTGCTGTGTGACTTAAAGCATCCTCCTATAAATCTTCTTAGTAGTTTGCCCATAGATAGAAGTATCGCACACTGCACCCTCTTCACTGCGCACGGCCCACCTTCAAGCCTCGGTGACCTAATGGGGGTGGACCCCTCACTGCACACAGCTCCTGCCTTCATGGGAATGGGCCCTTGCTATGCACTGTCCACCTCCTGGCCTAGGTGACCTAATGGGGGTGGACCCTATGTTTTATTGCTCACGACCCTATCACTATCCTTAAAGATGATTTTACTCACTGCCCTGCGCACTAACCTATACACAATAAATACTGATGCTTCTGGACATTCGGGGCCTGGTCTGACTCTGCTTATAGGTGGCATGGCCCACTGAGCCCAGCTGCATTTTCCTTGTACTTCTGTGTCCTGTCTCTTTATTTCTCAGGTCCTGCGCCTCAGCACAGCATAAGGCTCACCCCACGACCCTGTGGGGCCCTCAGCCCTACAGTGGGCACTCGATTCTAGCTGAAGAGCTTTATGAGATGTAGGCTGAGTCCAATTCTGCATTCCAGGTTTTCTTAAGGAACACCTGGACACCTTCTTTGACCCTCCACTGCCAGCTGAGAAGGCAGAAGCAATCAGGAAGATCGGCTTCGGGACCAACAATAAGATCTTCCTGGAGTTTGAGGAGCCCTTCTGGGAGCCAGACTGCCAGCTGATCCAGGTGGTGTGGGAGGACACATCCCCGCTGGAGGACCCTGCCCCCGCACTGCGGGACGCCTGGTTCCGGAAGCTCATCGGCTTTGTGGTCCTTCCTGCCTTTGGGTACGTTTGCTCTCTTGGAGGCTCCGAGAGTGGCTGGCTTGTTAGACCTTCATCTGATGGATGAAGCAGCAGCGTGTCAGTTCACTGCAGGGCATTTCTGGGGGGTTTAATGGGCGGGGATCTCATGAGCCCCTTCAGGTGCTGACAGCAGACACCCTGGGCCTGACCTCTGTGGGGACAGATGGCGCCCTGCTGTATGCGGGTTGTTAGCGCCCCTCGGGGCCCAGAATGTGTCCGTGGACTTGCAGGCAGACTCAGTCTTCCGTCCATGGGAACGTGTTTATTGGAAGGCTATAGGGAGCTGGGGCTTGTAGATACAGAGGAACTCTGGAACACGATCTGCCCAAACCTGGGGAGACGATACTGAAACAGGAGGAAGTAATTGAGGAAGACATGCCTAGAAGTAATGGAATCGCAGACCCGTAGAGGAAGGGCCCTCCCTCTTAGAAGCAGCATATATAGACCACGTGCCGACCCAGGAGATAATCCCATGAGTGACGTGGGGGATGGAGGAACTGACTTTTCTAGCCAGATTAAAACACAAAGCCAGCCTGTTGTGGTCAGATGGCAGATCTAATCCCATGCTTCCTCCGAGAGTTGCAGGAGGGGGGCATAGTTCTTGTTGTGAAAGACCCGGATGTGGTGGGAGCACAGGGCACACCTGCCAGATGGTTCATCACTGCTGTCCACTGGGAGCAGGAGGCGGCAGACCAGCCCTGCACCTGTGACTGGGGAAGCCTGTCTCCTTCACATTAAAGAGAAAACTGGCACTCTGGCTGGGTGTGGTGGCTCACACCTGTAATCCCTGCACTTTAGGGGCTGAGGTGGGTGGATCACCTGAGATTAGGTGTTCAAGGCCAGCCTGGCCAACATGCTGAAACCCCGTCTCTACTAAAAATACAAAAAATTAGCCAGGCGTGGTGGCAGGTGCCTGTAATCACAGCTACTCAGGAGGCTGAGGCAGGAGAATCGCCTGAACCCAGGAGGTGGAGGTTGCTGTGAGCTGAGAGAGTGCCTGTATTCCAGCCTGGGTAACAAGAGCAAAACTGTCGGAAAAAAAAAAAAACACTGGCATTCCAGGTGTTGAGACAGGCCTGGGTTGCTGTCTCAACAAGGGTGGGTGACTGTGTGTGTGGTCACCTGCTCCAGGCCCAGCCCCACCGCCTGTGCTCTCTTGCTTAGGACATCAGTGGGATCCCAGGTGCTCTGGTGGGACCCTGTCTGTGGCACGGGGTGGCAGCTATCCCATCCTTTTATATGCCTGCAAAGGGTTAGGGATCTCAAAGAGCTTTCGTGGATGTCACATCTGTAAACTTACCACATGATAAATTATTTATTATTTGAGATGATAGTAAAAAACCTATTCCAGCCGGGCGCGGTGGCTCAAGCCTGTAATCCCAGCACTTTGGGAGGCCGAGGCGGGTGGATCACGAGGTCAAGAGATCGAGACCATCCTGGTCAACATGGTGAAACCCCGTCTCTACTAAAACTACAAAAAATTAGCTGGGCATGGTGGCGCGTGCCTGTAATCCCAGCTACTCAGGAGGCTGAGGCAGGAGAATTGCCTGAACCCAGGAGGCGGAGGTTGCGGTGAGCCTAGATCGCGCCATTGCACTCCAGCCTGGGTATCAAGAGCGAAACTCCGTCTCAAAAAAAAAAAAAAAAACAAAAAACAAAAACCTATTCCATGTTAACATGAATCACATTTTAAAATGAATATTTTCTTAAAATTAAATGAAGATGGCAGAGTTCTGTCTTTTCCGCAAGACCCTTTTTTTCTTTTGAGACAAGGTCTCGCTCTGTCGCCCAGGCTGGAATGCATGGAGTGCAGTGGCAGGATCTCAGCCCACTGCAACCTCCGCTTCCTGGGCTCCAGCAATTCTCCTGCCTCAGCCTCCGGAGTAGCTGGGATTACAGGTGTGCACCACCGTGCCCGGCTAATTTTTGTATTTTTAGTACAGTCAGGGTTTTGCCATGTTGGCGAGGCTGGTCTTGAACTCCTGGTCTCAAGTGGTCCACCCACTTCAGCCTTCCAAAGTGCTGGGATTATAGGCGTGAGCCACTGCGCCCGGCCTCTGCAAAGCTCTTTAATGTCACACCTAATAGAAGATTCTGGATTCTCAGGCCTGCCTCTGCTTCATTCTGTTGTGATGTTTTATTTTGGCTGAAACACAGGCCAGTTTGGATGGACATGGATATGTGGGTGGAAGGAGGAGTGATATTTCAATAGCTTTGCAAGTGATTGTGGGTATTCTTTGATGCTACACCAAAACTCAAGAAGTAGTAGTTCCTTAAATGTTGGCCAAATGTGGAATCTGAGATCACACCGGTGAATTTTGTTGTGTTCTGTGACACTGAAACCTGTTTGTCTGTCTTGCCCTGCTCCCTCGTTGGTTCCTTGCTGAGAACTACGGGCAGAGCCGGGCTGAGAGCTGGGCTGGACGCCTCGTCCCAGGGGTCTCTCTCTCCATGCAGGTCTGTCCACGTTCTCTGTGGGTTCATTGCTGGGCTCGAGTCTGAGTTCATGGAGACTCTGTCGGATGAAGAAGTGCTTCTGTGTCTCACCCAGGTGCTCCAGAGAGTGACAGGTACTCACTGCACACGCCAGCGCCTGCCTCTGCTCATTACTGGCTGACCTCTAAACAGAAACAGCTTTTCAGAACAGAGAAAAACTAAATTTGGCTGAGTCTGTACATTTCCAGGGACAACCCTTCCTCATGTCAGCGGGGTCAGTAGCAGTTCCTACCTCCAAGGAACCGAAAGGGCTTTACAAACACTTCCTACCTCTGCCACCAAAATAAATACAGTTGTCTTTGGTCAGATTTTTACAGAGGAGGAACCCAGGGCTTGGAAGCAGTAGTGTGCTGCTGTCCCAGGCCCAGGTCCCGGGTCCCTCAGCTGGCCTGGCATGGCGGTGCCTGCCAGCGGCCTGCTGTTCTGGCAGAGTCAGCAGGAAGGGCTCCTCCGGACGCGCTCTGCCGCTCGATTTGCTTCCGGCATAGCGTCCTCCACGTTAAACGGGTCAGTCTTTAAAATGACAGAAGCAGCTGCAGATGTGTGGGTGAGAGTTCTCGGTTAACAGCGGTGTCTCTGCGGCTCAGGAAACCCACAGCTCCCTGCGCCCAAGAGCGTCCTGCGGTCTCGCTGGCACAGCGCCCCATACACCAGGGGCTCCTACAGCTACGTGGCTGTGGGCAGCACAGGGGACGACCTGGACCTGCTGGCTCAGCCCCTCCCTGCAGACGGCACCGACGACCAGGTGTGTGGCCTACCTGGTGGGGGGGGGCGCGGGGGTGAGTCTGGCTGCAGAGGCCCCCCCGGGAGCCTCAGAGCTGCAGGAGCATGAGCTGGGGAGGGCTGGGCTGGGACCCCAGACTCAGAAGCCATTTTCTTTTTGAAACTAAGAATAATTTTTAAATGTATTATTTTTGTGAGAATTATACACATACGCAGCTTAAAGAGTCAGAGAATTCTGCAGTTCTTGCTAACAAAACAAAATAAACAAAAACAGCAGGTGGAGCCCCTTTTGCGCTTCCTGGGCTGTGCTCCCAGCTGATTCTGATTGCTAAATTTACTGCATCTCTAAAACATGTTTCTTCGGCCACGTTTTGAGAAACGTTTCCTATGCAAAATGTCAAACATACAAAAGTAGGTAGAACCTTTGAGTGCCCAGCAGACTTCCCCTAAGCCAAGCTTGCTCCCCCCCCGCCCCCCCATTCCTGTTAAACATGTGTCACACAGGACATTGTTTCACCTGGGGGTATTTTGGTGCATGTCTCTGAAAGATAAAGACATCCTTGTAAATACTAAACTATGATGCTGAGGGCAGAGGCTCACACCTGTAATCCTCGTGCTTTGGGAGGCTGAGGCAGGAGGTTTGCTGAGGCCAAGAGTTTGAGACCAGCCTGGGCAACATAGTGTAACATAGTGAGACTCGGGCTCCACAAAATAAATAAAAAGTAGCCAGGCATGGTAGCGGGCACCTGCAGTCCCAGCCGCTTGCGTTTGCGCCCAGGAGGTTGAGGCTGGAGTGAACTGTGACCGCGCTGCTACACTCCAGCCTGGGTGTCAGAGCAAGATCCTGTCCCAGAAAATGTAAAAGTAAAACCATATATCCAGGAGACTATTTACCCAGTTAAAAATTGACAGTAATTCCTCAGTATTACCCAATATTTAGTCAGTGCTAAGTTTTCCAATCAGCTCATGATCTCTTTTCAGTTAGCCTGCTTGGAAATGTTACTTCTTGCGTTTTCAGTTTCAGGTGTTATTGATTGACTTCTCATGATATTGGATAAGATTTAGCTATCTTCCACCCACTCAGGGTTCTCCCCACCCTCCTCATTTGTCATTCAGTAGTTGTGGCCAGATCACTACTCAGTGTTTACAATTCAGTAGTTGTAGTCAGTTCACTCCTCAGTGTTTACAAGATCTTGTTTTCTCTAAATGCTGTTTACACCTGAGCTCCAGGGTGGAGTAGCTTCTTTTCCCGCCCATCGGCGGATGCGTGTGAGCTGCGTTTTCCTGCCTGCTGATGGATACATGTGAGCTGTGTTCTCTGCCTCTTGGTGGATGGTGTGAGCCGTTTTTTTGTGTGTTTCTCTGCCCAGACCCAGCTGTCTGAATCGCATCCCCATTCTAACCCTGGCTCTTCTTTGCAGCTCCAGATCCTGTTTGCAGGGGAAGCCACACATCGGACATTTTACTCCACGACGCACGGGGCTCTGCTGTCGGGGTGGAGGGAGGCTGACCGCCTCCTTGGTCTGTGGGCCCCGCAGGTGCAGCAGCCCCAGCCCAGGCTCTAGGGCCAGCCTGCGCTGCTCCTCCCGTGCTGGGGGAGGCTGGGACCCTCGTTTCCTCTGACGATTTCAGCCTGGATTGAGATTTGAGGATGTTAATGAGAGCCTTCTGGTTTTGGTGACTTTCTCAGTTCTTGTGTCTGTCACTGGAGTCTGGTCAGCGCTGACTTGAGCTGAGATGCTGGATGCTAACAGAGATGGTGGCACAGAAGGCACGTTTGGACCACAGCATCCAGAGCCGCCTTCCCTACCTCCGCTGGCTTCCATCCCTCCTGCCTTGGGGCTCCAGCATCTGCTGCTGTTGTCTTTGTCTTGCTCCAGGCCCAGGTTACACAGGGCCCTGTGTCTCCAGCCCCCACAACGACACGTGGCCCCGAATTCTGGGTTCCCTGAACTCTGGGTCCTGTAGTTGCCTCTCGTCCCGCTGCATTCTCATGGCTGCTGCCTGGGATGATAGCGTAGCGGACAACCTTCCTCCTACTCATTGACCGATGCTGCACCAGGCACCCACTTTGAAGGGCACTGGGGGCGTGAGGGGTGCCCTGCTCTTTCCTGAGGCCAGGGGTTTTCTGGAGGACGTGAATAGATAATAAGGCCTGAAGTGAGAAACAGGGTGCCTGGCCCAGTGGAGTGTGTGGGGTGTGGGCAGTGCTGGGGTGCTGGGCCGGAGGCCAGGCCCCTGTCTGGCCCCTCTACCCCAGGCTGGATCTGTAGAGCTCCTTCCTTCTCACCCTCCTAGGGCGTTCCCTGACCCTGAGCCTCCCTCCAGAGCCCCAGCCTCCCTCTGCAGCCGGCAGCCCCACCTGCCGATGCTGTGTCACTAGATTGGTCTCTCAGGGGTTACCTGCCCATCAGATGCCTGTGAGAGAAATTCAAGTTTCACAGGTTTTATTGTGGTTTTTTGCTCCTGGGACCACGAGGGAATGCAGCTTCCTTCATTCAAGTACAAAAATCTTTATCATTGACAGGGTTTCACCAATTCTGTCTCCCAGGGACGAATGCAGCAAGACCCAGGCTGCCCTCTCTGCGTGTGAGGGACTGGCTTGGTGAGGAGGGGGATGGGAGGCACTGACCTAGCAGGAGGTCCTGATCGTCCCACTCAGCCCAGAAACCACCTGGGAGTCTTCTGTCTTCCCCGGAGGGGCCACATCTCTCATGCCTAGAAATGTTGACAGCTGGGCGTTAGGGTATTAGGTGGTTTAGGAATATCAAAACCGTGGCAATATTTTTGTACTTAGAATTTGAGCATGTTTGCTATTTCAGTAGCTTATTTAAAAAATTCCAGTAGAGTAATACTCTTGTAAAGCAGTGTGCCATTGAGGAGTTGCTGACTGCTGATTTAAAGTTGAAATCTGCCTACATTTATGTCTAGTCTTGGGCAGTGGAGAATATTTCAGACTCATTGTGTTAGTTTGCTTGAGCAGAACTGCAGTCAGTATTTGGAAATGGTTTGTTATAGTAAACCCTGAAGTACTTGAGGCTGTGCATGCCTGTAATCCCAGCACTTTGAGAGGCTGAGGTGGGTGGAACACTTGAGGTAAGGAGTTTGAGACCAGCCTGGCCAACATGGTGGAACCCCATCTCTACTAAAAACACAAAATTAGCCAGGTGTGATGGTGGGTTCCTGTAATTCCAACTACTTGCAAGGCTGAGGTGGGAGAATCCCTTGAACTCAGGAGGTGGAGGTTGCAGTGAGTGAGATGGGGCCACTGCACTGCTGGGCAACAGAGTGAGACTCTGTCGCAAATAAAACAACAAAAACCCTGATGTACTTAAAAAGAAAAGAGATTACATTTGTAAGATAAATTTAAAGTAACAAATATTTTAAGCAAATTTGTAAAATGAGATTGTTAAATTTTTTTATACTTAGGATATGCTTAAGGGAGAACGAGGATTTTTAAAATTTAATGGAAATAGGTCTGCAAATTACCTGAAACCCCCACAGGCGTAGGGCGCCTTTGCTCAGCAGTATTTGCGTATAGTCACGGGTGTGTCCCTCTCTGGTCCAGGCCTGCAGGTGTTGGCTGCGACCTCTGTGCTGGGATGAGCCGTGCTCCTGGTGCAAGCAAGGGTGCCCAGCCGGAGCCATGGCCAGCACAGTGGTAGCAGACAGACTGACCACTGCAGCTGCAGGATTTGCAGGCTGTCACGCTTTGCAGAGCCTCAAGTAAAGCAAGTTTTTCAAAGTCTGCCAAAATCTGCCATCAGAGGTGGCTATTACGGAGGTGGGTTTGAACCCAAAATGACAATACTAGGTGTAAGCCCTACTGCCAATAAAGGGAAAATAAGATGCTCATCGACAAATTATGCTTTTAAATCATCCTCACAAAGGAGGGTCTCCTTATATGGCAGCCAAAAATCAATGAAGCTAAAGATTTACTAGAAGGTCAAGCTAAAAAATGAAGTAAATGTATGATGAATTTTAGGTTCATATTAGTTTATGTAAATGAATACTAAGTTTTGATAATAAAATGCTTCAGAGCTAAAAGAAAACCCCACAAAACCCAGGAACCCTGCGAACTCCCAGGTGCCCGGAGGCGCCTCCTAGCCCCGCCCCGGCGCCGCCTCCTAGCCCCGCCCCGGCGCCGCCTCCTAGCCCCGCCCCGGCGCCGCCTCCTAGCCCCGCCCCGGCG